ATCTCGGCTCACCGCAACCTCCGTCTCCTGGGTTCAGGCAATTCTCCTGCCTCAGCCTCCCGAGTAGCTGGGCTTACAGGCACGCGCCACCATGCCCAGCTAATTTTTTGTATTTTTAGTAGAGACGGGGTTTCACCATGTTGACCAGGATGGTCTCGATCTCTTGACCTCGTGATCCACCCGCCTCGGCCTCCCAAAGTGCTGGGATTACAGGCTTGAGCCACCGCGCCCGGCCATGAAGCCCATTTTGAGCACCACAGTAATTTCCAAACGGACTAAAATTTAGATGTTAAAAAAAATTACAGCACGAATTAGCCGGGTGTGGTGGCCACTTATCCCAGTCACTCAGGAGGCTGAGGCACGAGAATCTCTTGAACCTGAGAGGCCGAGGTTGTGGTGAGTCTAGATCTGTGTCACTGCACTCCAGCCTGGGCAACAGAGCAGACTCTGTCTCAACCAAAAAAATTACATCGCAAAGTGCTGAAAGTAAGCATTGTTGAATTTATTTATAATCTTAGAATAACAGAAACTCTTCTAAATGTGTCATGTAATCCAGAAGCCAGAAAGGAAAAGACAAATACTTTTAACTCCATTAACATTTTAAATCTATATGTCCTGCAAAATTCAACCAAACCAAAAAACTACCAGAAGCCAAATAAACTTATGAAAATGTTTGTTTAATGATCAATTAGAAAAATACGAAGCCCAACTGGGTGCGGTGGCTCATACTTGTACCAGCACTTTGGGAGGTTGAGGTAGGAGGATCACTTGAGGCCAGGAGTTCAAGACCAGCTTGGACAACATAGTGAGACCCCATTTCTACAAAAAATTTAAAAATTAGCTGGATGTACATTGTGGTGCGTGCCTGTAGTCCCAGCTACTCAAGAGGCTGAGGTGGAATGATCTCTTGAGCCCAGGAGATCAAGGCTATAATGAGTTGTGATTATACCACTGCACTCCAACCTGGTTGACATAGTGGGACTCTTATCTCAAATGGTAATAAGAATAAATTTTTAAAAAGAAAAATTTAAAGAGAAAAATGAGCAGAGTACATGGACAAGAAAATCAGAAGAAATACAAGTGGCAGAAATCTATAGCAAGAGACTGCCATCTCACGAATTTCAAAGTGCAAATTAAAACTAATTAAGGGGGGGTGTTGGCAAAGATGACAAAGACTGGAAATAGGCTTGTCTGGAAACAGAAATGTGTTAGTGGAAGTATAAATGAGTATATTTTTCGGAGGGCAGTTTGGAAATGATTTACTCGGCTATTCAATAGGAAAGAATCTGCAAATAAGCAGAGGGCACAAAAACATGTTTAACATTGACGTTTTTAGTGTTGTTTTACTAGAAAATATTTGAAAAAAGATGTCAATCAGTATATGACTGGTTAAATAAATTGTGGTATCCCATAAAATGAATACTGTGCAGCTTTTTTTTTTTTTTTTGGGGGCATTATTGTTGTTTAAAGACAGGGTCTCACTCTGTTGCCCAGGCTGGAGTGTAGAATGGTGTGATTGTGGCTCACTGCAGCCTCAACCTCCTGGGCTCAAGGAATCCTCCCACCTCAGCCTCCTGAATAGCTGAGACTACAGATGTGTGCCAGCACACCCTGCTGATTTTTTTGTATTTTTTTTTTTTTTTTTTTTTGTAGAGATGTGGTTTTACCATGTTGTCCAGGCTGGTCTAGAACTGCTGAGCTCAAGCGATCGTCCCACCTCAGACTCCCAAAGTGCTGGAATTCCAGGCGTGAGCCACTACATCTGGCCCTGTGTAGCTGTTTAAAGGAATATGGTAGATCCATGTGTACTGACATAGAAAGATGTCAAATATACAAGATTAGGGGGCCGGGCGCGGTGGCTCAAGCCTGTAATCCCAGCACTTTGGGAGGCCGAGGCGGGTGGATCACGAGGTCAAGAGATCGAGACCATCCTGGTCAACACGGTGAAACCCCGTCTCTACTAAAAATACAAAAAATTAGCTGGGCATGGTGGTGCGTGCCTGTAATCCCAGCTACTCAGGAAGCTGAGGCAGGAGAATTGCCTGAACCCAGGAGGCGGAGGTTGCGGTGAGCCGAGATCGCGCCATTGCACTCCAGCCTGGGTAACGAGAGCGAGACTCCGTCTCAAAAAAAAAAAAAAAAAAAAGATTAGGTGAAAAAAGTATGTTTCAGAATAATGCATATGGTAAGATCCTATTTCATAAAACTGTAAGTTAATATATGTATAAAGGCTGGGAGCAGTGGCTCACGCCTGTAACCCCAGCACTTTGGGAGGCTGAGGCAGGTGGTTCACCTGAGGTCAGGAGTTTGAGACCAGCCTGGCCAACATGGAGAAACTCTGTCTCTACTAAAAATAAAAAATTAGGGCCGGGCGTGGTGGCTCACGCCTGTAATCCAAGCACTTTGGAGGCCAAGGTGGGCGGATCACCTGAGGTCGGGAGTTCAAGACCAGCCTGACCAACATGGTGAAACTCCATCTTTAAAAAAAAGAAAATTAGCCAAGTGTGGTGGCACGTACCTGTAGTCCCAGCTACTCAGGAGGCCGAAGCAGGAGAATAATTTGAATCTGGAAGGTGGAGGTTGAATGAGCAGAGATGGCACCACTACCCTCTAGTCTGAGCGACAGAGTGAGACTCTGTCTCAAAAAAAAATATATGTGTGTGTGTGTGTATGTGTATATATATATGTGTGTGTGTGTATGTGTGTATATATATATATGTATATATATGTATATATATATATGTGTGTGTGTGTATATAGATATATATATTTTTTTTATATGTATATAAAGAATCTACAAGACTATACCCCATAATTAATAGTAGTTAGCAGTGATGAATCAGGTTGGAAACATGGTGTTGGGACAAAAGAGCAGGGAGATGGCAGGGCAGGGCCATAGGTGTAGGTTGTTGGGAGGGCCTGGGCAAGAGGCAGAAAACAAAACCCAGTGGGGGAGGTCTGAGTTTGGTTTGGTCTTAGGTTTCTGTGCTATGCTTTTGCATTTCACCCAACCTTTGAGAACTATAGGAGTTTCATAGATAGGTTTCAGTTGTATACCCTTTCTTGATAAATTAGAAGTAGAAAGCAACTATTTATTACTTTTAGGGTCTTTGGAATATTGTTTATTGATTTTCTGATTCCATCTTTCTTCCATAAAGGTAACCATGGAGAAAGACCTGCGGAGCACCATTCTTTTCAATGCCTACAAAAAGGAGATATTTACCACCAACAATGGCTATAAATCCATGCAGAAAAAACTTCGGAGTAATTGGAAGATTCAGAGGTGACTCACCATGTGTATTATTTTCCCTTCTAAGTGATATTGCCCTGCTGATAAAGCTGAGAAGTCTTTGTTTTTTTATGTAACATAGATTGTTTAGGTGGGAGAAGCTCAATTTAAAGATTATTCAGAAATAGATTCTTATTAAAGCATCTCTTGGTCAAGGCACGGTGGCTCATGCTTGTAATCCCAGCACTCTGGGAGTCTGAGGCAGGCAGATCACCTGAGGTTAAGAGTTCGAAACCAGCCTGGCCAATATGGCAAAACCTCATCTCTACTGAAAATACAAAAATTAACCAGGTGTGATGGTGCATGCCTATAATTCCCAGCTACTCAGGAGGCTGAGGCATGAGAATCACTTGAAACTAGGAAGTGAAGGCTGCAGTGAGCCGAGATCATGTGCACTCCAGTCTGGGCAACAGAGGAAGTCTCTGTCAAAAAAAAAAAAAAAAAAAAAAAAAAAGAGAGAAAATTTCTTTTGAAATAAGCAATTAGCATATTATTAAAGCAGCATATTATTAAGTTGTTTTCTAAATCACAAACCAAAAAATTATTCTAATTATACACATACAGCTTTTTAAGATGTTAGAGGTTTTCTTCATATTTTTGACTCAGGTCCATACTAGGGAAAGGAAACATGATAAGTAAATGTTATAACTTTGACTTTATATGTGTTTATGTGTATGTTTCTTCTTAATAGGTGAGGATGTGTAATCATACAAGCTAATGGTAGGGCTTATTAAATAAGTAGTTGAGGACTTCTTTTGCTTTAGCATGGCTTGGTTTGAACGCCTTGACTTACTGGAAGTATTTGAACAGAGGCTGGGTGACTCTGGGTCAGGCCTGTAGAGGGGATTCTCATTTTGAGAGAGAATGGACCAGTTACCTCTAAGTCCCTTCATGTCTGAGCCTCTGTGGCCTCTACTTCAAAATAGTTGAGAGACTAAAATAATGCATAAATTGGTTTAAATTATGGACCTAATATTTGCTTTTAAAATTGCATCTCTAGCTTAAAAGATGAAATCACATCAGAGAAGTTAATTGGAGTGAAACTGTGGATTACAGCTGGGCCAAGGGAAAAATTTACTGCAACTGAGGTAAGAAATAGCCATTATAGGCCAGGTGCGGTGGCTCAAGCCTGTAATCCCAGCACTGTGGGAGGCCGAGGTGGGTGGATCACGAGGTCAAGAGATCGAGACCATCCTGGTCAACATGGTGAAACCCCGTCTCTACTAAAAATACCAAAAAATTAGCTGGGCATGGTGGCGCGTGCCTGTAATCCCAGCTACTCAGGAGGCTGGGGCAGGAGAATTGCCTGAACCCAGGAGGCGGAGGTTGCGGTGAGCCGAGATCCGGCCATTGCACTCCAGCCTGGGTAACAAGAGCGAAACTCCGTCTCAAAAAAAAAAAAGAAATAGCCATTATAGAAGAAATAATGGTGAAATGATTAGGAGCCTGGGCTCCGAAATCCTGGATTTGAATCCCCCTTCACCACTTATGTGTGGCCTTAGGTAGTTACTTCATCTCTCTTTTCATCATAAAGTTGTGATGATTAACTGAGATACTCCATGTAAAACACATTGTGTAGGCCAAATGCATAGTGTAGGTTAATTAAATATTAGCCACACTTTTTTGCTATATTTTTACTTTGAAAATAGGAAAATTCCATTTAAAATAAAGATGTTTACTATTCTAAGTCATGAAATGGATAAAAAATGATAAATATAAGGCCCAGAATTCAAATGACAGTATTGGTAAGAATAGGAAGTTATTGGAACCCTTCCACACTGATGGTAGGAATATAAAATGTACAGTCACCATGAAAAACAGTATGGCAGTTCCTCAAAACTTAACCCCAAAATTGCCATATGATGGCCGGGTGCAGTGGCTCGTGACTGTAATCCCGGCACTTTGGGAGACTGAGAAGGGCAGATCACTTGAGGTCAGGAGTTTGAGACCAGCCTGGCCAACACGGCAAAACCCCGTCTCTACTAAAAATACAAAAATCAGCCAGGCGTGGTGGTGTGTGCCTGTAATCCCAGCTACTCGGGAGGCTGAGGCAGGAGATTTGCTTGAACTTGGGAAGCAGAGTTTGCAGTGAGCAGAAATTGGGCCACTGCACTCCAGTCTGGATGACAGAGCTAAACTCTGTCTCAAAAAAAAAAAAAATAACAAACCTGCCATATGCTCTAGCAGTTCCACTTCTGGGTATGTGCCCAAAAGAATGGAAAGTAGGATCTCAAACAGGTAGTTGCACACCCATCTTCTAAGCAGCACTCCTCACGTTAGCTAAAAGGTGGAAATAGCCCAAGTATCCATCGACAGATGAATAGAGAAGATATGGTACATACATGCGATGGAATATTATTTAGTCTTAAATAGGAAAGTAATTCTGATACATATTACAACATGGATCAACCTTGAGGACATTATGCCAAATGAAAATAAGGCAGACAAAACGACAAATACTGTGTGGTGTCACTTATGCAAGCATGAGGTATATAGAGTAGTCGAATTCATGGAGACAGAAAATAGAATGGTGGTGGTTGCCAGGGCCTGGGGGAATCGGGGAATGGAGAATTGCTGTTTAATATGTACAGAGTTTCAAGTTTTGCAAGATGAAAAGAGTTCTGGAGATTGGTTGCCCAACAGTGTGAGTATATTTAATATTGCTGAACTAGGCCAGGCGTGGTGGCTCACACCTATAATCCCAGCACTTTGGGAGGTGGAGGCGGGTAGATCACTTGAGGCCAGGAGTTCGAGACCAGCCTGGCCAACATGGTAAAACCCTCTCTCTACTAAAAATACAAAAATTAGCTGGGCACAGTGGCACATGCCTGTACTCCCAGGTACTTGGGTGGTTGAGGCAGGAGAATTGCTTGAACCCAAGAGGCAGAGGTTGCAGTGAGCTGACATCGCACCACTGCACTGCAGCCTGGGCAACAGAGTAAGACCCTGTCTCAAAAAAAAAAAAAATACTGCTGAACTAAATACTTCAGAATGGTGAAGATGGTAAATTTAGGAAAGATTGCGTGTGTTTTTTCACAGTCAATAAAACAAAAAACCCAGAACACAGAAAGAGCCATTTTACAGAGACATGAGAAGTACCTTTGTGCTCAGAGAGAATATGGGGAGTAGGGAGTTTGAGGCAGGGCAAGGCCAATGTGGTCCTTAGATTGAGGCAGGCCAAGGTCTCCTGCTGTTACTCTGGGTGGTGTCATGGGGAAGAGGTCCACTGCAGAGCAATTCTAGTGTCCTTTGTTTCTCAATTTGATTGCAAGGTGACCTCTGCTGGGAATGGCATGGAGAGAGAGATGATTGCTTGATCAGGTTAATTGGCAGAATGCGTAGGAATTACTCTTGGGAATGTGGAGGTGACCAGCAACTCCTACCCACTGAGACCCTGAGGGAAATGTACACACCGATGGCAGTGGCCTGCATAGCAACAATTTATTACTTGTTGGGCTTTGGCTCCATGTCCCTATCTACCTGGTGAAGCCAAAGAGAGAGTTGACCTGGTGTTTGCCAGGGACCAACCAGCCTCAGAAACACAGGGGCATCCGGAGAGAAGGTCAGAACCTGGTGCCTGGGCCTTTTTCCAAGTGGAGATGGGTGCCAGCCCAAGCCTTAGTTTGGGCTTCCAGGGATGGAAGGCTGTTACATCCAAGAGACACGAGTCCTTCAAGAGGCAAGTGTGATGTAATTTAGCCTAATAAAACCTCCCAGACCAGTCCCTGACACCACGCCTTCTCTTTAGAGTTGGAGTGGGGTGGGAAGAAAAGCCTTTGGCTTTTTTTCTAGGAACCAGCATTCCCTTGTGTTCCTGTTCTTCCAATGGGCTCATCCTGGTGAGATCACTGCTTTTGTCATCGCTGCTGGCCTCCTAGACTGTTACCCCTGGAAAGCTGTGTGATGCCTTTTTCTTTTTATTTGAGATAGAGTTTCACTCTTGTTGCCCAGGCTGACTTGCAATGGCGTGATCTCGGCTCACTGCAACCTGTGCCTCCCGGGTGCAAGTGATTCTCCTGCCTCAGCCTCCTGAGTAGCTGGGACTACAGGCATGTGCCACCAGACACGACTAGGTGCCTTTTTCATGTTGGCTTCCAGAAGCTTCTGTGATAGGACAGACATCATATGTCTGATAGTAGATGCTAGTATCGGGCTAGAAACTAGGCTGAAAAGCCTCCGCCTATTTCCACCTCAACTACATTAACTCATCACACTAGCATGTGGTGGTATTCAGTTACCACCAGGTAACCACATAGCTGAGATGAGTATTTTCCAACCCTGACAGACCAGCGTCCACCTGTATTACAGATTCCACCTTTATTACCCTGAATTGAAATGCTAAGATAATCTAACCCACCACCATTTTTTAAAAAGGCAACATAGCATCCTAACTTTAATATTCAGAAATTAAAGGATGATTTATAAAAGAATACATGTATTTTAAACCGTAATGTTTAGGCATATATACACTAGAAGAATATATGTATTTAAGTTTGTTAATACTTGGGCATACATGCATTAGAACACTTCTTTATGTTTGGCATTTTGAAATAAATGTTTAATAAATATATAGAACTCCCATGAATGGGTTAGATACAGATGCAGACTGGTGGAAGTGATGAATTGGCAATTCAAATTATGAGCTGTGTTGCTGTCAGTGATGTGATTTTTCCAAAATACTAACTCTTGGTAAAGTTCTATTAATAAAAAGAGTGTAATTCTTTTCTCAATTTACATGGTAGTTGGGTATCTGCAAATTCAGTATATTAAATCGTGCAAAAAATACTTTATAAAATTTATATATAATTTAGGCTGGGTGTGGTAGCTCACGTCTGTAATCCCAGCAGTTTGGGAGGCCAAGGCAGACGGATCACCTGATGTCAGGAGTTTGAGACCAGCCTGGCCAACATGGTGAAACTCTGTCTCTACTAAAAATACGAAAATTAGCCGGAGGTGGTGGCAGGCGCCTGTAGTAACAGCTACTCAGGAGTCTGAGGCAAGAGAATCGCTTGAACCCGGGAAGTGAAGGTTTCAGTGAGCTGAGAATGAGCCACTGCAGCCTGGGTGACAGAGCGAGACTTCATCTCAAAAAAAAGAAATAAATAAATTTAGTTAGATTCTAGGCTAAGTTTCTTTTGTTTGCTTGCTTTTCTTTTTTAAACATACGTGACTGAGAAGATACTCAAATGTTGTGGAACAGTTCTTTACTATGTTGGACTGGTCTGAACATTGCAGGCCTTAACTTCCCTGCCCTTTACCCATTAAAATGTCCTTAAGCATTAACATTATGGCATTAATATTTTACCATATTAATATTATGGTAATCCAAAATACATGCTAGATGGTTTAAATGCCGACACTGAGAGCCACTGGCCTGGACCATCCAGTATCAATTACATGAAATAGCTCACATTTGCTGCCACATTGTAAAACTTAACAGTGTGAATGCATTCAAAGCCAATTTCTAAAATTTAAGTCTACAAATTTAATCTTTCTTCTTGTTTTTGCCATCAAGAAGTAAGAAACCTCCAATTTGTACCAAATATCTATTCTTTGGTTAGATGGGTCTCACTTACATGCATAGGTGGAACCTGGGTCATAATTTGTGGAAGCCCCTTCAACCTTTGCCCAACTGTGTTACCGGACACCACATCCTTCATGTATCTTTTTCTTAAAATGCCAGATGGCCAATAGGACACAGTAGATATCAATACCTATTGTATATTCATTGCATTTAGACAACAAGGACAAATCCCAGAACCACATAATCATAAATACCAAGTCCCAGTAGAATTTCCCAAGCAAAAGCTATGTTCTGAGAATAGGTGTTGCAAACTAGACCTGGCTTTCTATTAGCAGTCATAGAACATAGCATATATTTAGGGCTGTCTGGGAAGAGGAGTTCAAGAGGAAATAAAAAGGAAGATGGGATTTAGGGAGAGATTCAGCCTGTTGTTCAGGGTCCAGGATCCATGCAGTTATATTTCATTTGTTTTTCTGTTGTTCCAAAAAATATTTATTAAGGATCTGTTATGTACCTAGTTGTGTGCCAAGTCCTAGGACTAATGCTAGGGATCAAAGTCAAATAGTACATGGTCTTCCCTCTCAAGGAACTGATATTCTAGGGGAAATCAAACAAATGGACCATTTATCAGTAATGATCAATGTTCTAAGTTCCACATTTCTACAGAAGCACAGAAAAGAGGCATTGGATTAAAGGGCCCAGAGGAAATGGCCTTTGAGCTAATTTTTTTTTTTTTTTAATGTTTTTTTTGAGACAGAATCTTGCTCTGTCACCCAGGCTGGAGTACACTGGCACAGTCTCGGCTCACTGCAACCTCCACCTCCCAGGTTCAACGGATTCTTCTGCCGCAGCTTCCCGAGTAGCTGGGATTACAGGCATCTTCCACTACATCCAGCTATTTTTTGTATTTTTAGTAGAGATGAGGTTTCACCTTGTTGGCCAGGCTGGTCTTTAGCTCCTGACCTCAAGTGATCCACCCACTTCAGCCTCCCAAAGTGTTGGGATTACAGGAGTAAGCCACTGCACCCCGCCTTAATTTTGATTTTGAAATAATTGATTCATTTTTGTTTTGTTTTGTTTTGTTTGTTTTATTTTGCTTTGTTTTTGGGATGGAATCTTGCTCTGTCACCCAGGCTGGTATGCAGTGGTGCTATCTCGGCCCGCTGCAACCTTTGCCTCCTGGATTTAAGCAATTCTCCTGCCTCAGTCTCCCGAGTAGCTCAGACTACAGGCATGCACCACCACACCTGGCTAATTTTTGTATTTTTAGCAGAGACAAGGTTTCAGCACATTGGCCAGGCTGGTCTCAAATTCCTAACCTCAGGTGATCTGCCCCCTTTGGCCTCGGAAGATTCATTTGTTTTCTACAATGTGGGGAAGGCAGGAGGAGAGGAAAATTCAGGGCGCATGCAAGAGCAAGAGGGCTATGCTGTGGCAAAGCTAGTATGGGCAGTAGTTTCCAAAGTAGGATACATGTGATGAATCAATGGGGTACCAGAAAGAAATTACGTTTATTATTCATATATATATATATTTTTGTTCTGAGACAGAGTTTTGCTCTTGTTGCCCAGGTTGGAGTGCAGTGGTGTGATCTTGGCTCACTGCAACCTCTACCTCCCGGGTTCGAGCGATTCTCCTGCCTCAGCCTCCCAAGTAGCTGGGACTACAGGTGTGCACCACTAAGCCCAGCTAATTTTTGTATTTTTTTTTAAGTAGAGATGGGGTTTCACCGTGTTGGCCAGGTTGGTCTTGAACTGTTGACCTTGTGATCCACCCTCCTTGGCCTCCCAAAGTGCTGGGATTACAGGCATGAGCCACTGCACCTGACCCTATTCATTTTTTTGTTACCTTTAAAACATTTCCTTTTTGGGAGTTGTTTTAAATTATAATATAAGGTACATATTTTATATAGAGATACATATATATTGGATGTATGTATAAACATGTTCATATTTTTTTTCTGCTGGAGTACTTGATGAAAAAAGTTGAGAAACTGTTTGTCTCGACCACGCACCACAGATTTTCTCAGGCTAGACCAGCAAGATGAACCCTAGATTTTTCTCCCATCCCCAGCTCTGTGAAAACGAGAGAGCTTCCAGGAGATAAGAAGAAAACATGCATTTCTCTTTATGGCTTGGTCATTGACCTTGAACAGAATTCCTCCAAGGTGTTGTATGAAATGCCTTCATCCTGATATCATCTGTGGGCAGTCAAGCGAAGGCATTGTCTAAATCAGTGGTTCTTAACCAGGGGTGATTCTGTTTCTTCTTCTCCTGAGGGAACATATGGCAATCTCAAAAGACATTTTTGGTTGCCGGGGAAAATAGGTACAGCTGGCATCTGGTAGAGTGGAGACCAGGGGTGCTGCCGAATGGAGAACTGTGAGCTTCCTTCAGTAAAGTTTTTCACTTTTGGTTTGCTGTCTAGATAGCTTTGAAACTGTTATTTAGTTTGAGAATTTTGGAGCTTTATGCTCAGAGACAAGCTTGGAGATCATACATAGAGAGCACATTTTGGCTGGGCGCAGTGGCTCATGCCTGTAATCCCAGCACTTTGGGAGGCCGAGGCAGGTGGATCACGAGATCAAGAGATCGAGACTGGGCCGGGCGCGGTGGCTCAAGCCTGTAATCCCAGCACTTTGGGAGGCCGAGGCGGGTGGATCACGAGGTCAAGAGATCGAGACCATCCTGGTCAACATGGTGAAACCCCGTCTCTACTAAAAATACAAAAAGTTAGCTGGGCCTGGTGGCGCGTGCCTGTAATCCCAGCTACTTAGGAGGCTGAGGCAGGAGAATTGCCTAAACCTAGGAGGCGGAGGTTGCGGTGAGCCGAGATCGCGCCATTGTACTCCAGCCTGGGTAACATGAGTGAAACTCCGTCTCAAAAAAAAAAAAAAAAAGAGATCGAGACTATCCTGGCCAAGATGGTAAAACCCTGTCTCTACTAAAAATACAAAAATTAACTGGGTGTGGTGGCATGCATCTGTAGTCTCAGCTACTTGGGAAGCTGAGGCAGGAGAATCGCTTGAGCCTGAAAGGCGGAGGTTGCAGTGAGCCAAGATCACCCAAGCCTGGGTGACAGAGCTAGACTCTGTCTCAAAAAAAAAAAAAAAAAAGTACATTTTCTCTTGTATGTATTTATATGTAAATGCCTTATAGATTTGAGGTATTCATTTTTCATCTAGTTAAGGTCTTATTCATGGTATTTTGGGCAAAAGTCTTTTGAGCATATTCATGGATTTCTTTTTTCCTTTGTGTAGTTTGAAATCCTGAAGAAATACCTTGACAGCGGTGGAGATATCCTTGTGATGCTAGGAGAAGGTGGAGAATCCAGATTTGACACCAATATTAACTTTTTACTAGAAGAATATGGAATCATGGTTAATAATGGTAACTTATTATTTTCAGTAGACACAGTAATTTTCTATTTATTATCTGATATCATAGCCCTCTAGGTCCAGTGGCATAATGGAAAAAGCACTGGGCTGAGTGTGCATGTTTTTTTTTTTGAGACGGAGTTTTGCTCTTGTTACCCAGGCTGGAGTGCAATGGCGCGATCTCAGCTCACCGCAACCTCCGCCTCCTGGATTCAGGCAATTCTCCTGCCCCAGCCTCCTGAGTAGCTGGGATTACAGGCACGCACCACCATGCCCAGCTAATTTTCTGTATTTTTAGTAGAGACGGGGTTTCACCATGTTGACCAGGATGGTCTCGATCTCTTGACCTCGTGATCCACCCGCCTCAGCCTCCGAAAGTGCTGGGATTACAGGCATGAGCCACCGCGCCCTGCCCGAGTGTGCATGTTTTAATGTTCCATTCTCATCTGCATTCTGAGCCTCCTGGGCTTGGGCTACTTCCATTTATAAAGTGGGGTGAATTGGAACTGAGTTCCAGGGTGCCTTTCGGGTCACAATCGGTATGAGTCTATAATATCAAACTTATTTCTAACCCAAAATATGCCTCCTTCTCTTTTTCCTTCGTAGATGCTGTGGTTAGAACTGTATATCATAAATATTTCCATCCCAAAGAAGCTCTAGTTTCCAGTGGAGTCTTGAACAGGTAAGCATGTTGAAAGCAGAAATACCTTGGCCAGGCACAGTGGCTCATGCCTGTAATCCCAGCACTTTGGAAGGCCAAGGCGTGTGGATCATTTGAGGTCAGGAGTTCGAAACAAGCTTGGCCAACATGGTGAAACCTTGTCTCTACTGAAAATACAAAAACTCAGCTGGGTGTGGTGGCATGCACCTGTACTCTCAGCTACTCAGGAGGCTGAGGCAGGAGAATCGAGTGGAGGCTGCAGTAAGCCAAAATTGCACCATTGCACTCCAGCCTGGGTGACAGAACAAGACTTCATCTTAAAAGAAAAAAAAAAAGAAAGAAAGCAGAAATATCTTTACACATAATTCATTTCTTTTACGTGAATCTTCCCTCATCTCTTCTCACACAATTCTTTTCACTATCCGTTCTTTCTTGCCTTCTTATGTTATTATAATTTATTTTACTATATTACTACTTCTCATTCATCAAATTATATTTCTCCATCTTTTGAAACTTACTTCACATACACCTTATTTTTTATTTTGTTTTTGAGGCAGAGTCTTGCCCTGTTGCTCAGGCTGGAATACAGTGGTGGGAACACAGGTCACTGCAGCCTTGACCTCCTAGGCTTAAGTGATCCTCCCACCTTAGTCTCCCAAGTAGCTGGGGCTACAGGCATGCACTACCATGCCTGGCTAATTTTTTAAAATTTCTGTAGAAATGGGGCCTCATCATGTTGCCCAGGCTGGTCTTGAACTCCTGGCCTCAAGTGATCCTCCCACCTTGGCCTCCCAAAGTGCTAGGATTACAGGCTTAGCCGTAATGCCTCGCCCACATTTACCTTTTTGTCATTTAGGATACTTCCAGTTGCAAGTGACAGAAAACCCTGTTCAGATGGGGTTAAACAATAAAGAGACTAAACAATAAATAGTTTTTTGAGAAAGAGATTAAACAGTAAATTCATGTAATCAGAAAGCCCAGAAATAGTGTAGGCGTTAAATATGGATTAACTGAAAGATTCCTGTCATCGGGAATCCAATTCTATTTCTCTGCAGTTCTCTTGGCTCTGCTCTCCTGTATGTGTGAGCTGAATAATTTTAACAGTTCCCATATTTATATCTGTATGCCATGCCATCTGAAACAAGAGAGTATGCCTTGGTCCCAGCATTCCCAGGAAGAGTAGTCCTGGTTGGGTGTGGTGGCTCACACCTGTAATCCCAGCACTTTGGGAGACCTAGGCAGGCAGGTAACATGATGTCAGGAGTTTGAGACCAGCCTGGCCAACATGGCGAAACCCCGTCTCCACTGAAAATACAAAAGTAGCCAGGTGTGGTGGTGTGAGACTGTAGTCCCATCTCCTCTGGAGGCTGAGGTGGGAGAATCACTTGAACCCAAGTGATGCAGAAGTTGCAGTGAGCTAAGATCATGCCACTACACTCCAGCCTCGCCAACAGAGTGAGACCCTGTCTCAAAAAATATAAATAAAAATAAATAAATAAAATTTTTAAAAGGCCAGGTGCACTGGCTCATGCCTGTAATCCTAGCACTTTGGGAGGCCAAGGTGGATGGATAACCTGAGGTCTGGAGTTTGATACCAGTGTGACCAACATGGGGGAACCCCGTCTCAACTAAAAAATGCAAAATTAGCTGGGCGTGGTGGCACATGCCTGAAATCGCAGCTACTTGGGAGACTGAGGCAGGAGAATCACTTGAACCCTGGAGGCGCAGGTTGTGGTAAGCCGAGATCACGCCATTGCACTCCAGCCTGGGCAACAAGAGCAAACTCTGTCTAAAAAAAGAAAAAAAAAGTAGTCCTGAGATTTGCTCTGTTTAAGCTGGCCTAAGCTACAGTGTGTATCCCAAAGTGGCCTGATGGCATAGCTAGGCCATTCATACCCTGCAGCCTGTGGTGGAGTCACCTTTCTCTTATCTGGATCCTAAAACATAAATCAGGGGTTCTTAGGAAGTCGGAAATAAATGCATGAGGTGGGTAGCATCAGATGCCTTCTGGAGCTTTCCTATGTTTAAAATTATTCGGCCGGGCACGGTGGCTCACGCCTGTAATCCCAGCACTTTGGGAGGCCGAGGCGGGTGGATCACGAGGTCAAGAGATCAAGACCATCCTGGTCAACATGGTGAAACCCCGTCTCTACTAAAACTACAAAAAATTAGCTGGGCTTGGTGGCACGTGCCTGTAATCCCAGCTACTCAGGAGGCTGAGGCAGGAGAATTGCCTGAACCCAGGAGGCGGAGGTTGCGGTGAGCCGAGATCGCGCCATTGCACTCCAGTCTGGGTAACTAGTGAAACTCCGTCTCAAAAAAAAAAAAAAAAAAATTATTCATTCCACACTTGAACTTCCTTTATGCTAGGAATTCTACTGAAATGTGGGCCTAGAATATGAACCCCTTCCTCAAAAGTCACAAGAGAGGAGAACTGATTCTGACACTTTAATGTTAACTTCTGCGAGATTCCAAAAGATGTGTGGGTCTACTTTTATTTTTTAAAATTGTGTCTTGAAGTCTCCAAAATCCTTGCATCCAATTCATACTTACTATATTAATGAATGCAGTGTGAAATTCTCAAAGTTTTTTTTGTTTACTAGATTTTAATTTTTCTTCTTCAAGGGAAATTAGCCGAGCTGCAGGAAAGGCTGTGCCTGGAATCATTGATGAGGAAAGCAGTGGAAACAATGCCCAGTGAGTGTGTTTTCTGATGCCACATGAGGAGGACGTATCATTTTGAAGAGTCTGCTTTTTCTAAATGAAAAAAGTTTTTGTTTCTGGTTAAAAAAATAATCAGAATGTGAACAGTTCAAGAGGAAAAAAGTAGAAGCTCTGCACTGTAAGTCCATGTTCCTCCCCCAAAAGTAGTCTTAATAATATAGTATTCAGGCCGGGTGTGGTGGCTCACGCCTATAATCCCAGCACTTTGGGAGGCCAAGGTGGGTGGATCACAAGGTCAGGAGTTGGAGACCAGCCTGACCACCATGGTGAAACCCCGTCTCTACTAAAAATAACAAAAATTAGCCGGGCGTGGTGGCGCGTGCCTGTAGTCTCAACTACCCTTGAGGCTGAGGCAGGAGAATTGCTTTAATCCAGGAGGCGAAGGTTGCAGTGAGCCAAGATTGCACCACTGCACTCCAGCCTGGGTGACAGAGTGAGACTCTGTCACAGAAATAATAACATAGTATTTAGGCTGGGCGAGGTGGCTCATGCCTGTAATCCCAGCACTTTGGGAGGCCGAGGCAGGTGGATCACCTGAGGTCAGGAGTTTGAGACCAGCATAACCAACATGGGGAAACCCCGTCTCTACTAAAAATACAAAAATTAGCCGGGGGTGGTGGCACATGCCTATAGTCCCAGCTACTCAGGAGGCTGAGACAGGAGAATCGATTGAACCCAGGAGGTGGAGGTTGCAGTGAGCTGCCATTGCACCATTACACTCTAGCCTGGGGAACAGAGCGAGATTTTGTCTCAAAAAAAAAAAAATTATATTTGTTATATATAATAAAGCATAGGCCAGGCACGGTGGTTTACCTGTAATCCCAGCATTTTGGAAGGCCAAGGCAGGCGGTTCACCTGAGGTTGGGAGTTCAAGACCAGCCTGACTGACATGGAGAAACCCTGTCTCTTCTAAAAATACAAAATTAGCCAGGCGTGGTGGCGCATGCCTGTGATCCCAGCTACTTGGGAGGCTGAGGCAGGAGAATCACTTGAGCCTGGAAGGCGGAGCTTGGAGTGAGCAAAGATTGCGTCATTGTACTCCAGCCTGGGTAACAAGAGTGAAACTCCATGTCAAAAAAAAAAAAAGTTCACTTGTGCTTTTTTTTTTTTTTTTTTGAGACAGGGTCTTGCTGTCATGCAGACCAGAGTGCAGTGGTGCGATCTCAGCTCACTGCAACCTCTGCTTCCTGGGTTCAAGCCATTTTCCTGCCTCAGCCTCCCATGTAGCTGGGATTATCAGCCTCCCAAGTAGCTGCCACCACGCCTGGCTAATTTTTGTATTTTTAGTAGAGACAGAGTTTCACCATGTTGGTCAGGCTGGTCTTGAACTCTTTACTTCAGGTGATCCGCCTGCCTCAGCCTCCCAAAGTGCTAGGATAAGTGAACATCTTTGTATGTAGAGTTTTGTGCACTCGTGGCAGTATTTTTTAGGGTAAACTTCTCAGCATTGAAATTTCTGGGTCAGAGGTCTTCCAACTGTTGGATTACCAAATATAATGCACTGACAGATGTCTGTTAGGTAGGTGGCAGCACTTACAGTCCCCATGAACACATCCCATTTTCCTCTCTTGCCAGCACGGGGTATTCTAGTAAAAACAGTATCTGTTTCTTTTAATTTGCATTTTTTATTATTATTAGTTTGTGGTATGGCCTTTAAAGTCTGTTGGCTGATTGTATTTCTTTTGTGAATTTTCTATTTACTGCTCTTTGGCCATTTTTCTATTGATGGTTTGTCTTTTCTCATTCATTTATAATACCTCTCTGTACTTTGAGATATTTTACCCAATAAAAATTGAAATTTTTATTCAATTGCCATGCACATTTCAAAATTTTAGTAATGAAATAACGTGGGCCAGGTACTGTGGCTCACGCCTGTAATTCCAACACTTTGGGAGGCCGAGATGGGCCGATCACCTCAGATCAGGAGTTCGAGACCAGCCTGACCAACATAGTGGAACCCTGTCTCTACTAAAAATACAAAATTAGCCAGGTGCCGTGGCAGGTGCCTGTAAGTCCCAGCTACTTGGGAAGCTGAGGTAGGAGAATCGCTTACCTGGGAGGCAGAAGTTGCAGTGAGCCGAGATTGTACCATTCCACTCCAGCCTGGGCAAAAAGAGTGAAACCCTGTCTCCAAAAGAAAAAAAAACACAAAAATACAAAAATTTCCTGGACATGGTGGTGCATGCCTGTGATCCCAGCTACTTGGGAGGCAGAGGCAGGAAAATTGCTGGGATGTGGAGGTTGCAGTGAGCCAAGATCCCTCCACTGCACTCCAGCCTGTAGAACAGAGCAAGACTGTCTCGAAGAAATAAAATGAAATGATGAAATGAAGCCAGGTGTGGTGGCTTATGCCTGTAATCCCAGCACTTTGGGAGGCCGAGGCAGGCAGATCACAAGGTCAAGGGATGGAGACCACCCTGGCCAGTGTGGTGAAACCCCAACTTTACTGAAAATACAAAAATGAGCTGGGCATGGTGGTACCTGCCTGTAGTCTCAGCTACTCAGGAGGCTGAAGAAGGAGAATTTGAACCTGGGAGGCGGAGGTTGCAGTGAGCCGAGATCATGCCACTGCACTCCAGCCTGGCAACAGAGTAAGACTCTGTCTCAAAAAAAAAAAAAGATGAAATGAAATGGAATATTGAAGTAAATGGAATGGAATGGAGAAGTGCTGGTTACTATGGCTCACGCCTGTAATCCCAACACCTTGGGAGACTGAGGCGGACAGATCACCTGAGATTAAGAGTTCAAGACCAACCTGGCCAACGAGTAAAACGCCATCTTTACTAAAAAATACAAAACTTAGCTGGACATGGTGGCACATGCCTGTAATCCTGGCTACCCAGGCAGCTGAGGCAGGAGAATTGCCTGAACCTGGGAAGCGGAGATTGCAATGAGCTGAGATTCCACCACTACACTCACTCCAGCTTTGGCAACAGAGTGAGACTCTGACTGAAAAAAAAAAAAAATTGTGTGTGTGTAAATATTTTAAATTCTTGGAGTAGGGAAGACCTTTCTTTTTTTTTTTTTTTTTTTTGAGAGGGGGGGTTTTTCTTTTGTTTCACACTGGGGGGGAATGGCGCGATCTCGGCTCACCGCAACCTCCGCCTCCTGGGTTCAGGCAATTCTCCTGCCTCAGCCTCCTGAGTAGCTGGGATTACAGGCACGCGCCACCATGCCCAGCTAATTTTTTGTAGTTTTTAGTAGAGACGGGGTTTCACCATGTTGACCAGGATGGTTTCGATCTCTTGACCTTGTGATCCACCCGCCTCGGCCTCCCTAAGTACTGGGATTACAGGCTTGAGCCACCGCGCCCGGCCGGGAAGACCTTTCTTAGTAGAAACCCAAGTGAAGTCGTAAAGTGGGAAATTGTATAACAACATCATTCACAGAGTTAATATTTTTGACCATCAAGAATCAATCTAATTATTTCACTTTGTGTCAGCTTATCCAATTGGTATAGGTAAAAGAACTGTAGACATGGAGTTAGAAGGAATTACTAGAAATTTATGATTTCCTCTCTTACTTTCCAAGGGTAACCCAAGGCATAGTAACTGTTTCCCTATCTGTGTAATGGGGACAATGTTAATCTTACAAAATTGTTGGAAAATTTCAGTGAAGTGATATTTGTGAGAGTGCTTTGTAAAGTTTAAAGCATGGTACCCTACCTGTTATTGCATTATGACTTTGTAATTAATTGTGGTGAAGGGAATATGTTTAGTTGTTCCTTTCCTGGATCATCCAGGAAACACAGCTTCCTGGTAGACTTTGAGATATCTTGGCCTGTTGGAGTCTCAGATTCTCATTTATCTTCATTTCCTATTAGGTCCCTTCTTCCTTCTCTCACTCTGTTGTAGCCACACTGACTTTGTTTGAATCCTTAAATAAGTGAAGCTTGTACTCATCTTAGGGACTTTACACAAGCTATTCTCTCTTTAAGGAAAACTCTTTCCCCACCTTTTCACTGAGCTAATCTTATTCATTCACATGTGGTTTGGAAAGTTCTGTTTTGGGGATGGGTGTTTTAGTTTATACTTAGTCTTATCAAAATGTCAGTCTCATTGATTTCTGTTTTTTTGTTTTTCTTTTCAGACAGAGTTTCACCACCGCTGGAGTGCAGTTGCGCCAGCTCAGCTCACAGCAACCTCCACCTCCTGGGTTCAAGCAATTCTCCTGCCTTAGCCTCCCGAGTACCTGGGATTATAGGTGCCAACCACCACACCCGGCTAATTTTTGTATTTTGAGTAGAGACAGGGTTGACCATGTTCACCAGGCTGGTCTTGAACTCCTAACCTCAGAGGATCCACCCGACTCAGCCTCCCAAAGTGCTGGAATTACAGGTGTGAGCCACCACACCCTGCCTAGTCTCGTTTATTTCTTAGTAGTAATAAAAGAAATAGAGGCATGTAAATTATAGCAGATAGTTTTCATCTTATTACTCCAGTGTCCATTCTCCCTTCTGCCTTGAGAATCATCTTCCATTGATTGCATTTGGGGAAAGTGTCGGGGATAGATGTGCATTGACCTCCATATGACTATTTCTCCCGCTTACCTTTTCTTCCTCCATGGACAACTGCTCATTTTCTTCTGCTTCTGGCCTGGAGCTCATGGGCTATAATCCACCTTGCTGAGATACTGCTGGAGTAAGGGTGGAAGGGGGAGTACGGATAATCTGGGCCAGGTACCACTTCTTCATGGTATGACAACAAAAGTCATAGGATAGATGAGACTTTACTGAAGGAATGGGGAAGATTAACACCAGAAGGAGGCCGGGCCCAGTGGCTTACTTTTGTAATCCCAGCACGTTGAGAAGTCAAAGTGGGTAAATGTCCTGAGCTCAGGAATTCGAGACCAGCCTGGGCAACATAGTGAAACCCCATTTCTACAAAAAATACAAAAAGTAGTTGGGTGTGTTGGCATGCACCTGTTATCCCAGCTACTCAGGGTGCTAAGGCAAGAGAATCACTTGAGCCCAGGAAATTGAGGCTGCAGTGAGCCATGTTCATGCCACTGCACTCCAGCCTGGGCAACAAATTGAGACTCTGTCTTTAAAAACAAAAACACTGGAGGGAAATAATTTTAAACTTAAGCTAAAAAGAATTTTTGTGGTCTGAAGAAAAAGGTAAATTAAAATCTCTATGAGGAACTCCTCATGGGCGCTTCCCCCTGGTTTCTAACCTTACGCTCTGGTCTTGAGATCTGTTTCTCTCCATTCTGAGAGCAATTCCTTCAAGCTTTGCAGAGCTCCACCTTTCAGTAAAACCCTAGCCTATCCTGCATGGGTTGGCCTCACCCCAGGATCTGCGCACCACCCCTGCTCCTCTATCCCACACCCTCTCCAGGAGTACATTGCCCCAGGTCAGACCGATTCACTCTAGATAATCTAAGGCAAGTCTTTGTTAGGACAGTGTAGAGTAGAGGAGGGACTCCAGAGCAGATCTGTGTAGAAATGTCCAATGTGGAGTATATTTATGCCTCTGTTCATGTGACATTCAACTAGTAACATACCCTTCCATTGACAGACATTAATTCTTAGAGAAAGCACCAGCCAAACCTAAGGAAAAAGAACGTATTTGCCACTAAGATATTATGCAGAGCAACTCAAGTATAGCTCGAGTTCAGTTCTTGGATGAGGCCCCATCCTCTTCCTTCCTGCTCCAGTAGGGGCTACTTTAGTTCTCGCAGATACAGTCATTTATACTTTCCTATTAATTTTCTTTCACATTTGTTAAAAGGCTTTATTAAATGTGTGGCTGGAGTTGTCCCAATTTTTAAGTTAAACCAAAGCTTACAAGGAATTTTGTGTTTGATAATGAATCAGAGTGTTATTTGGCTGAGTACAGTGGCTTATGGCTGTAATCCCAGCACTTTGGGAGGCCGAGGCAGGCAGATCACTTGAGGCCAGGAGTTCAAGACCAACTTGGCCAACATGGTAAAACCCTGGCTCTACTAAAAATACAAAAATTAGCTGTGTGCAATAGCAGGCACATGTAGTCCCAGCTACCTGGGAGGCTGAGGCAGGAGAATAGCTTTAACCTGGGAGGTGGTTACAGTGATCCAAGATCCCACCACTGCACTGCAGCCTGGGCGACAGAATGAGACTGTTTCAAAAAAGACTGTTAAGAAATGCTGAAATTATTTTTAGAATTTTCATATTCATGTTTTTAAGATTTGAATGTGTTTAATTTCTTGCAGGGCTCTCACCTTTGTATATCCTTTTGGTGCCACATTGAGTGTCATGAAACCAGCAGTGGCTGTTCTGTCTACAGGCTCTGTTTGCTTCCCACTTAACAGACCCATTCTGGCTTTCTATCACTCAAAGGTACAGCCTTTCTTAGATATGGGTGTAGATGTTATTTTTATTGTTGAAATAATAAAAACTACCTTACCATTTCCAGAAGTCTTTTATATGCTTTCTCATTGGTCTTCCTGCCAGTCCTGCAAAGTAGTATTTCAGTTTTATACATTTTGCTTATGGAGAAATGGTGGATTGTCCAGCAACTAATGATGTTAAGGCCTAAACCTAGCTCTTATTATTCTAAACCCAAAGCTTTTTCACTATAGCATGAGGCTACCTGTATTATAACTTTTAAAGTTATTTTTTTCTTTTTTCTGTTTTTTTTTTAATTCTCTCTTTTTTTTTTTTTTTTTTTGAGACGGAGTTTCGCTCTTGTTACCCAGGCTGGAGTGCAATGGCACGATCTCGGCTCACCGCAACCTCCGCCTCCCGGGTTCAGGCAATTCTCCAGCCCCAGCCTCCTGACTCACTGGGATTACAGGCACGCGCCACCATGCCCAGCTAATTTTTTGTATTTTTAGTAGAGACAGGGTTTCACCATGTTGACCAGGATGGTCTCGATCTCTTGACCTTGTGATCCACCTGCCTCGGCCTCCCAAAGTGCTGGGATTACAGGCTTGAGCCACCGCGCCCGGCTTTTTTTTTAATTCTATGGCAGCATATTGATTAAAATAATTTTTAATCCTATCTGTGACTATGGGCTGTCACTCTCAGTGTAAAGAGAATACGTTCAGGAACAGGTGGAGTCAACATATTACACAAAATAACACAGAATTATATTGCTGTTATTTTAGTTTATCCTAGGAAAACATATCAGGAAATGATTTTTCCAGTTATTTTCCTAGAGAACCCATAGAAATGTGGGCACAGCTAGTCTCAGGCAGTGACCCAACATTCCACTGCTGTTTTATTTTTTTGAGACAGAGTCTTGTTGTGTCGCCCAGGCTGGAGTGCAATGGCACAATCTCAGCTCGCTGCAACTCCGCCTCCCAGGTTCAAGCAATTCTCCTCCCTTAGCCTCCTGAGTAGCTGGGATTACAGATGCCTGCCACCATGGTGCTCATGCCTGTAATCCCAGCACTTTGGGAGGCCAAGGTGGGTGGATCACTTGAGGTCAGGAGTCTGAGACCAGCCTGGCCAACAATGATAAAACCCAATCTCTACTAAAAATACAAAAATTGGCCGGGCGTAGTGGCTGACACCTGTAATCCCAGCACTTTGGGAGGCCGAGGCAGTTGGATCACCTGAGGTCGGGAGTTTAAGACCAACCTGACCAACATGGAGAAACCCTCATCTCTACTAAAAATACAAAATTAGCCAGGTGTGGTGACATATACCTGTAATCCCAGCTACTTGGGAGGCTGAAGCAGGAGAATCACTTGAGCCTGGTAGGTGGTGGTTGCAGTGAGTCGAGATCATACCACTGCACTCCAGCCTGGGCAACAAGAGCAAAACTTGGTCTCAAAAACAAAACAAAACAAAAATTGGCTGGGTGCGGTGGCTCATGTCTATAATCCCAACACTTTGGGAGGCTGAGGCAGGCAGATCATGAGGTCAGGACATTGTGACCATCCTGGCCAACATGAAACCTGTCTCTACGAAAAATACAAAAATTAGCTGGGTGTGGTAGCATGTGCCTGTAATCCCAGCGACTTAGGAGGTTGAGGCATGAGAGTTGTGTGGACCCAGGAGGCAGAGGTTGCAGTGAGCCAAGATGGCGGTACTGCACTCCAGCCTGGAGATAGAGCAAGACTCCATCTCAAAAAAAAAAAAAAAAAATTAGCTTGTGGCGGGCTATGAAGCATTTGCTTTTAATGTGGTACAAATCAGAGTTTGCCAGTTTTTAAAAAAATGTATAGAAAGATGTACTTATATCTCTTATATCTCTGGCTTCGTGTAATTCTTTTCCTAGGGATATTATAACTGCCTGTTCCCTGTATATGATGTAGCTAGAAAAACTAATTTCATTTTATAGTCTTACTATTGAACTGTTTTTCTCATTACAAAACTAATATATGCTCATTGTTGGGCTGGGAGTGGTGGCTCACTCCTGTAATCTCAGCACTTTGGAAAGTCAAGACAGGTGAATCACTTGAGGTCAGGAGTTCAAGACTAGCCTGGCCAACATGGTGAAACCCTGTCTCTACTAAAACCGCAAAAAAATTAACCCGGTGTGATGGTATGTGCCTGTGACCCCAGCTACTCAGGAGACTGAGGCAAGAGATTGGCTTGAACCCTGGAGGCAGAGGATGTAGTGAGCCAAGCTCATGCCACTGCACTTCAGCCTGGGCAATGGAGCAAGACACTGTCTCAAAAAAAAAAAAAAAAAAAAAAAGTAACATGGCAGAAATATTACAATAATTGTAGAAAAATTGAACAATACAGAGATAAAGCAGAAGGAAAAAAGAATTCCCCCATCACATTACTCCAGGACTTCCAAGACAGCCCGCGCTAACGTATTATTCACTTTGTCCCACTTTTGCTTTGACTGATTTTATTCGCCTCATAAGCTTTAAAGTAGGATGGCTATATAATTTATAGTATAGGTAGGACGTGCTGACTCACGCCTGTAATCTTAGCACTTTGGGAGGTTAAGGAGGTAGGATCACTTGAGGCCAGAGTTCAATCCCAGCCTGGGCAACATAAAAAGACCTGTCTTTACAAAAAAAGCTAGCTGGATGTCATGTTGTACTCCTGTAGTCCTGGCTATTTAGGAGGCTGAGGATCACTTGAACCCAGGAGCTGAAGGCTATAGTGAGCTGTGGTTATGCCACTACACTCCAGCCTGACAGAACAGAGTGAGACCCTGTCTCTAAAAATGGAAGAAAAAAAAAATTACAGTGTACTTTTTTTTCTTTAAAAACTCAGTGATATTTTGGAAGCATTTTCCCATGTTACTGAAAACCCTTTATAATATGAAATTTAACTGCTGAAGAAGTTTCCATTATTCTGAATTACTTTTTTGAGAACATTTGGATTTATTTCTAATTTTTTGTGATTATAACTACACAACTGTGCATAGAATTTTTTATATGTTTCAGACTGCTTTGTTGCATATGTTAACAGCTTCAGCAACAATGTGTAGAAGAACTCATTTCTTTTTTTTTTGTTGGTTTCTTTTTTTAAGAACTCATTTCACTAAAACTTGACCAGCACTGTTTATATAATTTTTTCATATTAATTTATCCAATAGGCAAAAGTACTTTGTTTTTATTTGTAAAAAATTACAAGTATTGGGCCAGGCACACTGGCTCATGCCTGTAATCCCAGCACTTTAGGAGGCCAAGGCAGGGGAATTACCTGAGGTCAGGAGTTCGAGACCAGCCTGGCCAACTTGGTGAAACCCCATCTCCACTAAAAATATGAAAATTAGCCAGGCATGGCTGTGCATGCCTATAATCCCAGTTACTCAGGAGGCTGAGGCAGGAAAATTGCTTGAACCTGGGAGGCAGAGGTTACAGCGAGCTGAGATCAGGCCATTGCACTCTAGTCTAAGTGACAAGAGTGAGACTCTGTCATAAAAAAAGAAATTATAAGTATTAAAAAATTTTCTCATTAACCAGTTGTTATTTTGTGACTCTTTCTTGCTTGTGCCTTAGTTTTCTTTTTTATGTGACACGGAATCTTACTCTTTTGCCCAGGCTGGAGTGCAGTGGCACGATGTTGGCTCACTGCAACCTCCACCTCCCAGGTTCGAGGGATTCTCCTGCCTCAGCTTCCCGAGTAGCTGGGATTACAGGCACATGCCACCATGCCTAGCTAATTTTTATATTTTTAGTAGAGATGGGGTTTCACCATGTTGGCCAGGCTGGTCTCGAACTCCTGACCTCAAAGGATACACCCGCCTTGGCCTCCTAAAGTGTTAGGATTACAGGCATGAGTCACCTCACCCAGCTTTGCCTTAGCTTTCTTTGAGACAGAGTCTTACTCTGTTGCCCAGGCTGGAGTGCAGTGACATGGTCTTAGTTCACTGTAACCTTGCCTCCCGGGTTCAAGCAATCCTTCCTTCCGCTGCAGCCTCCCAAGTAGCTGTGGGTCTGCAGGCACGCACCACCATGTCCGACTAATTTTTAGTAGAGACAGGGTTTCACCTCGCCATGTTGATGAAGCTGGTCTTAAACTACAGACCTCAGGGTGATCCGCCCACCTCGACCTCCCAAAGTGCTGGGATCACAGGAGTGAGCCACTGCGCCCAGCCTGCCTTAGCTTTTCTATTTGGATCTTACTTAGGTACTTATTTTGGTAGCCATAGGTATCTTTAACTGTGCAGATTGTCTTTGGGTTTTTCTTTTTTTCCCCTTTAAAATTATGATCTTCATTTATAAGATAAATAAAAATGGGAAAATGCTGTAGAACCAATTTAATTTTTTTTTTTTTTTTTTTTTTTTTTTACTTGTTAAAGGCAGGGTCTTGCTTTCTCTCCCAGGCTATAGTGCAGTAGTGTAGTCATAGCTCATTGTAACCTCGAACTCCTGGGCTCAAGTGATTCTCCTGCCCCAGCTTCCCAAGTAGCTAGACTATATTTGTGCCTCACCACACCCAGCTAATGTAGAATTAATTTATGTTAGTTTTTGTTAAAGTCAAATAGAAAAATACAGAAATACCTAAAATGAGAGGCAGGTTAAAGTGTAGTAGTTATTATAGTTGGTATTTCTAAACTTTAAAATCTAGATGTGAATTGGCACTCTTCAGTATATAAGACAGTTGCCAGCATGATTCTGATAAGTGTCTGGGGACTAGGATACATGAGATGCATTTTCAGATTTGAGTATCTGACCCTGCTTTGTTGTTAATAGAACCAAGGTGGGAAGCTGGCAGTGCTTGGTTCATGTCACATGTTCAGTGACCAATATTTGGACAAAGAAGAAAACAGCAAAATCATGGTGAGGTTGTTTTTTTTTTTTATCACATTAATGTACAATGTATAAGTACAATTTTCATGTCATTTAAAAAAATACTGACAAGTTTATTTGCTCATTTAAAACCAGCTACTCAGAACCCATTATATTCCAGGCACTAAGAATACAAAGGTGAGTCAGGCATAGTCCCTGCTTTAGAAAACTCTGTAATACACTGAAAGAGAAAGACAAATTAGTAAACCCAGAAGGGTGTTTCTAAGCATGCCAGGTGGGGTGGGAGCTGAGCCTGGAGAGACAGAGAGGAACAAGTTCAACAGCAGTATCACGTGTAAGGCCAAAGCTTGAACTTGATGCTGAAAGCCACGGGGAGCCCTTGGGTTTTCCGCAGCCTTGGGCAACGCTAGATCTGTGTTTTGGAAACCTTCTTTGTTGTCGTTTTTGTTAATGAAAGAACTTCTGGCCATTCAATCCAAGCATTTTGGAGGCCAAGGTGAGCGGATCACCTGGGTCAGGAGTTCAAGACCAGCCTGACCAACATGGTGAAACCCCATCTTAAAAAAAATAAAAAAAATTGTATAAACAAAAGAACTTCTAGAATGTTTTAGAAAGATTCTTTTTTTTTTTTCTGAGATGGTGTCTCACTTGTGTTGCCCAGGCTGGAGTGCAATGGCCTGATCTCGGCTCACCGCAACCTCTGCTTCCTGAGTTGAAGCAGTTCTCCTGTCTCAGCCTCCCAGGTAGCTGGGATTGCAGGCATGCGTTAAAAACACCCAGCTAATTTTTTTTTTTTTTAGTAGAGATGGTGTTTCTCCATGTTGGTCAGGCTGGTCTCAAACTCCTGACCTCAGGTGATCCGCCAGGCTCAGCCTCCCAGAGTGCTAGGATTACAGGCGTGAGCCACTGCACCTGGCCCAGAAAGACTCTTCTGTCCATGTGTTCTCATTGTTCAACATCCACCTATGAGTGAGAACATGCGGTGTTTGATTTTCTGCTCTTGTGTCAGTTTGCTGAGAATGATGGTTTCCAGGTTCATCCATGTCCCTACAAAGGACACGAACTCACAGGGAGGGGAGCACTATACACTGGGGTCTGTTGGGGGGAAATAGGGGAGAGACGGGGGGGAGGGGAGTTGGGGAGAGATAGCATGGGGAGAAGTGCTAGATGTGGGTGATAGGGAGGAAGGCAGCAGATCACACTGCCACGTGTGTGCCTATGCAACAATCTTGCATGTTCTTCACATGTACCCCAAAACCTAAATGCAATAAAATAAATTAAAAAAAAAAAAAGGACTCTTCTGTCAGTTGTGTGGAAGGTGGAAAGGAGGAGGCAGCCTAGATCCAGTTAGGAAGCCAGTGGTGTTACTAGGCAAGAAAGAATAGAGACCTGAATTATGGGAGTAAAGGTGTGAATGGAGAGGAGGGGCCGACGGCATGGAATGGTAATTAGGAAGGGTTCTATAGAGGTGTGCTCACTGACCGATGTGGCAAGTAAAGTAAAGGCATTGCAATTTTGTCAAAATAATGCAAAGGGAACATGTATTATGGAGGATGGCAGAGGGAGGAAGCAAATACCTGTACACCATGTGCCAGAGCTGTCCATTGGTGTGATTCCAATGAGAGGAAGAAGCTCCCGCTGAACTATTTTTTTCATGAAATAAATTCCTTCAGCCTTATAATTGTTATATTGGGAAATTGATTAAGATCTTATTTCTGGCCGGGCGCGGTGGCTCACGCCTGTAATCCCAGCACTTTGGGAGGCCGAGGCGGGTGGATCACGAAGTCAAGAGATCGAGACCATCCTAGTCGACATGGTGAAACCCCGTCTCTACTAAAAATACAAAAAAAAAATCAGCTGGGCCTGGTGGCGCGTGCCTGTAATCCCAGCTACTCAGGAGGCTGAGGCAGGAGAATTGCCTGAACCCAGGAGGCGGAGGTTGCAGTAAGCCGAGATCGCTCCATTGCAGTCCAGCCTGGGTAACAAGGGCAAAACTCCGTCTCAAAAAAAAAAAAAGATCTTATTTCTGTGGAATTTACATGAAGTTTCAAATGTCTTTAGACACATTATGGGAGATCTAGATATTCTGGGGTTTTTTTTTGTTTTTGTTTTTTTTTTGACATGGAGTCTCCTTCTCTCACCCAGGCTGGAGTGTAATGGCACCATCTTGGGTCACTGCAACCTCCACCTCCCAGGTTCAAGGGATTCTCCTGCCTCAGCCTCCTGAATAGTTGGGATTACAGGTGCCTGCCACCATACCAGGCTGATTTTTATATTTTTAGTAGAGACGGGGTTTCATCATGTTGGCCAGGCTGGTCTCGAACTCCTGACTTCAGGTGATCCACCCGCCTCAGCCTCCCAAAGTGCTGAGATTACAGGTGTGAGACACCACACCTTGCCTAGATATTCTGCTTTTTAAAAGTTTTACTTTATTTATTTTATTTCATTTTAGGTTCTGGGGTACATATAAAGAACATGCACGATTGTTGCATAGGTACATACATGGCAATGTGGTTTGCTGCCTCCATCCCATCACCTATATCTGGCATTTCTCTCCATGTTATCCCTCCCCATCTCCCTACCCCCTACTCTCCCTCCCCTGTTCCCCCACAACAGACCTCAGTGTGTGATGCTCCCCTCCCTGTGTCCATGTGTTCTCATTGTTCAACACTTGCCTGTGAGTGGGAACATGTGGTGTTTGATTTTCTGTTCTTGTGTCAGTTTGCTGAGGATGATGGTTTCCAGGTTCATCCGTGTCCCTACAAAGGACACGAACTCATCGTTTTATGGCTGCATAGTATTCCATGGTGTATATGTGCCACATTTTCCCTGTCCAGTCTATCATCAATGGGCATTTGGGTTGGAAACAGAGATTAATTCAGGATTGTGAACAAGTTTTAATAAATTTTAGATTGTGGTTAGAGGTTAGAGTGCTTAAATATAAAGTATAAATTTCTGATAATAAAAGTTGCATTATGATGGGCATGGTGGCTCATGCCTGTAATCCCGCCACTTTGGGAGGCCAAGGTGGGCAGATCACCTAAGATCAGGAGTTCAAGACCAGCCTGACCAACATGGTGAAACTCCGTCTGCTAAAAATACAAAAATCAGGCAGGCGTGGTGGCAGGTTCCTGTAATCCCAGCTACTTAAGAGGCTGAGACAGGAGAATCACCTGAACCCGGGAGGCAGAGATTGCATTGAGCCAAGATCACACCACTGAACTCCAGCCTGGGCAACAGAGCAAGACTCTGTCTCAAAAAAAAAAAAGTTGCATTAAGTTGAAGAAAACCTTTGAGTTCTCATATGATTTTATCATGACAAGGCTAGCTACCCTTTTCTGAATCATTGGTTTAATCTTTTTTCATTTATTATTTTTCTTGATTTAATTTTCTAGTCCTGACCCTCAGTTCTTTTCAAATAACCAACTGTCTTAATTGTGTTTTTTGTTTTTTTTTTTAATTTAGGATGTTGTTTTCCAGTGGCTTACAACAGGAGACATCCACCTAAACCAGATTGATGCTGAGGACCCAGAGGTAGGATGCTATGAATTATCAGAAACTTTTAAATGAAAAATGGGTCCAGCTTCTCAATACCACTTGTAACAACTCAAGAGGAATACATGTCTATCTTACCTCATCTGTAAGACACATGGAAAGAAGGAATTATTTTGGGGAGATGAAGGTCACATTGTTTAAAATAATGGGGGAGAGGCAAAAAAAAAAAGTCAATAAACAAAATATATAATTAATTCATTGGAGGGGGGAGCATATCTATGTATGCATGTATATAAATTAGAATTTAAATTATGGGCACTCTAGCTCAAACTTTCAATATGAGCTTTTGCAAAGAAATACTTTTTTCAGAAATATGAAATTTTCTCAGAAAGGAACAAAGACTATCAGAATTTATGTTGCAAACTGTAATTCTGTTGCCTTTAGATTTAAGAATTCTAAAGGCGGCCAGGCGCGGTGGCTTATGCCTGTAATCCCAGCACTTTGGGAGGCCGAGGTGGGTGGATCACGAGGTCAAGAGATTGAGACCATCTTGGTCAACATGGTGAAATCCTGTCTCTACTAAAAATACAAAAATTAGCTGGACATGGTGGCGCATGCCTGTAGTTCCAGCTACTCAGGAGGCTGAGGCAGGAGAATTGCTTGAACCCAGGAGGCGGAGGTTGCGGTGAGCTGGGATCGCGCCAGTGCACTCCAGCCTGGGTAACAAGAGCGAAACTCTGTCTCAAAAAAAAAAAAAAAAAAAAGAAAGAAAGAAAGGAATTCTAAAGGTGTTATGATAACATTCATCAGACAGTGGAGAGTGGTGAAACCAACACAGTGAAATCACCACTGGCTCTTGGACCTTATACAGTTTCTTTCTGACCATTTTTCATCCCTAGTTTTCTTTCTTTTTAATTTTATATTTTATTTTATCTTATTTTATTTATTTTTTTATTATTTGAGATGGAGTCTCACTCTGTCACCCAAGGCTGAAGTGCAGTGGGGCAGTCTCAGCTCACTGCAACCTCTGTCTCCCGGGTTCAAGCAATTCTCCTGTCTCAGCCTCCCAAGTACCTGGGATTATGGCTGTGCACCACCATGTCTGGCTAATTTTTTAATTTTAGTAGAGATGGGGTTTCACCATGTTGGCCAGGCTCGTCTCAAACGCCGGACCTCAAGTGATCCACCTGCCTCAGCCTCCCAAAGTGCTGGAATTACAGGCATGAACCACCAGGCCCAGCCTTCATTCTAGTTTTCTTATCTGTGAAGAGGAGACACTAATACCTGTTTTCTCTGCCTCACAGGATGATTGTGAGGGCTAAGTTAATAGATGGTAATGTCTCAGGCATTGTTTGTCATATTCTTCCACATAAATCATCTTACTTTATCCTCACAACTGCCCTGGGAGGCAGGTGGTCTTATTCCCATTTTATAGATGGGGAAACTAAAGTCTTTCAAGATTGCAGTGTATTCAAAGGGCAGGCAAGTTCCAGAGCCAGGTTCCAAATCCAGGTTTCCTAATTCAAACTCTGCTTACTCTACAATTGTTTCTCCATTTCTTAAACTCTGAAATGTTAGGAAAATGATTTCTTGGCCATTGGTCATAGAAGGTAGGTGAGAAGACAGTCAAAGATGGCTGTCCACTGACTGTTTCTTCCCTCACCGAGGGAAATGGCTTCTGAGATACTGATTTGATTTAGGAAACAGGAGACCTGCATGTCTCTCCTTATATGGAAACATTAAGTGTATATGGATATTATTTTTATTTTTTTTAAAAGACGGGGTTTCACCATGTTAGTAAGGTTGGTCTTGAACTCCCGACCTCAGGTGATCCGCCCAGCTTGGCCTCCAAAGTGCTTGGATTACAGGTGTGAGCCACCACGCCCGGCCTTAAGTGTAATATATTTAACCACTTTCCTGTTGGTGGGCATTTAGGCTTTCTTGATCTTTTACTTTTAACCCGTCTGCAGTATGTGTCATAACTGAGGGCTCTCAGCAGTGCTGGAGGGATGTCCTTGGGTAGGGGAGAAGGACTGGGATCTGGTGTACCAATGGAGGAACTGTCTGTACTGGTGTCACAGGTGCTCTGGCATGTACCAGGAGTAACGAAGAGGACAAGGCCTGGATGCTAGTGGGTGGGTACATGTGGTGGGAGCTTGTGGACTTTCTTTCATGATTGCCTCTATTTTGTTACTAAAATCGAAAATAAGGTCATTGCTAAAATGGTGAAAGGGAAAACCAATTTTTTTGAGATAGTCTTACTTGGTCACCCAGGTTGGTGTGCAGTGGTATGATCGATCACAGTTCACTGCAGCCTCGACCTCCTGGGCTCAGGTGATCCTTCCACCTTAGCCTCCTAAGTAGCTGAGACTACAGGCACATGCCACCATGCTGAGCTAAAATTTTTGTAATTTTGTAGTGATAGGGTTTTGCCATGTTGCCCAGTCTGGTCTCCAACTCCTGGGTTCAAGCAGTCCACTCACCTCAGCCTCCCAAAGTGGTGTAGGTGTGAGCCACTGCACCCAGCTGGGAAAATCATTTTGACGGCTGAACTGTCAAAAGGGAAGTATTGTCTAGAAGAATGGGAAAGTGAGTAGACTATGGAGATGTAGTTGATTGCTGAGCACTCAAGATCAGAGATCATGAAATTAAAAGACCAGTTGACAGGTTTGTGTGTTTCTCCAGCTGTGTTCAGCCATGAGTACTGGTGTAATTGGAGAGTTGAATTTAGCCAATGCTGGGGTTTAGCCAAGTGAGTTTTGTTCCTCTTTCTACATAGATTGGCTTATTTAAGATTTAGTGTGTTGGGCCGGGCGCGGTGGCTCAAGCCTATAATCCCAGCACTTTGGGAGGCCAAGGCGGGTGGATCACGAGGTCAAGAGATCGAGACCATCCTGGTCAACATGGTGAAACCCCGTCTCTACTAAAAATACAAAAAAAAAAACATTAGCTGGGCATGGTGGTGCGTGCCTGTAATCCCAGCTACTCAGGAGGTTGAGGCAGGAGAATTGCCTGAACCCAGGAGGCGGAGGTTGCGGTGAGCTGAGATCGCGCCATTGCACTCCAGCCTGGGTAACAAGAGTGAAACTCCGTCTCATCAAAAAAAAAAAAAAAAAGATTTAGTGGTCAGTGATCATGAACAGTAAAATTTCTTGGCAAGAGAGTATAAAGGTTGCAGGTTTAGACCTGAAACAGTGGAGATGTGACAGAATAAATTCTTGCTCTTAAACTGTGCTGAAAGGAATTCTCTTGTGGCTTTCAGATTTCTGACTACGTGATGCTGCCCCACACAGCAACCCTATCAAAGCGGAATCGGGAATGTCTCCAGGAGAGCAATGAGATCCCGAGGGACTTTACCACCCTCTTCGACCTGTCCATCTTCCAGCTGGATACAACCTCCTTCCACAGCGTCATCGAGTCAGTACCTGTGGGCCTCTGAGCTACACTGTGCTCCCTTATGAGTGTTTGGTTTGGAAACATGAGCCTGGGACGGGAATTAGGATTACAGTAAATGTGGCAGGAAAAATATGTTCTCAGATCTATGATGAGGTCAACAAAGAAACTGGGCTGGCATGAGGCGTTGATGCAGAGGAACTGCCAGAGGCTGTTAGCCCCTGCATGTTCCAGACTCTGGACCAGGCATTTAGAGTGACTAGCTTCTTTCATTTTGCCCCACACTTCTCCTGGTTTTAGCACAGAGAGTCCCAAGTAGTCCCAGGAACACCGTCAGTAAATGGAAATGGTTGGTAACCCCCATTTCTCCCTGGGTATCTGGTCAACTGGTAATGCTATTAACTGGCGCTAAGAATGCGGAAAGAGATGGCTGGGCGTGTTGGCTTACGCCTGTAATCCCAGCACTCTGGGAGGCTGAGGCAGGTCGATCCATGGAGTCAGGAGTTCA